TATATATATATATATATATATATATATATAATCACATAAAAATCACATAATGCGAATTGCTGGTTGAAAAATATCGGATCGTACCAAAATTAAATTATTAAAATCATAATGAAGTAGTATGTTCTTCTTTCGTTAATTTTGTTGCGACGTTTTCCAACATCTTGTTCATTTCTAGCAACTGTACTCTTAGCAATTTTATAGCATCTTCATTCACTTTCATCATAGCAATCAGTTTTTCAAATGTCATTTCTAGAGCGATATCGGAGAATCCATTGTGTCGTTGTTTCAACCAAACGGCACGATCACTCAAATTGATGTCGTCATTCATAAACGAGGGAATATTCTTCTGTGCTATCTCATAAGCGGCTTTCATTATATCCTTAGGCAGTCGTTTCTCGAGGGGATTAAGCGGTTTTACCACAAGAACCCGTTTCCTGTTTTCAACGTCAATCTTGTGATCCGACATCCATTTCCGGAAGGCATATGGGATTGCAGTGTTGTGCAGTACCATTTCCGTAAAAAGGATCATTTTCGTCTGTCTTACTAGCTTCGTAAGCCCCGCATGATTCCTCAGACCTTGTATATCATGTACGGCGATACCGACCAGTAAGTTCATCAGAATCACAGTAACGAATACTATAAAGAGCGTAAAGAGAATCTGCGAACACACTGATAAAATAGGATGATAAATGACAAAAGAGCTGCCCACCGGTTTATCATCCATCTGGTTGATGAATCCTTCGAAGTCCAATTCACCGACCATCATAGCCAAGACTTTGATCAACCCAGTGAAAGGATTGCCGAACGCGGGTTCACTGGCGAATATCACACAGAAGCTGATAGTGAAACCAATCAGCAGGCCCGAATATGCTAATAAAAGTTTGGCGAACTCGAACTGGATGTGCGTAAACATAGCAACGTAGGTACCGAAGGCCGGTAACTGACCCACCATCAGCATTAAATTGGTCCAGGCGCAAAGAACAGCAAACGCGCCGACGTAATTCTGCCAGTCGTAAGTACGCCCAGTATACACGAAGGATGTAACGAATACACTCACAATCACCACGCCGTCCAACACGTTGTCAATGCTGGAAAAATACTGTAGTGCCGATTTGTAAACCATGAAGCCATATATTTTTCTTGGTATGGTGATGCATGTCAGAACCAGCGCGAGGTACCATTCAATCTCGATGATTGATTTTCGGAAGAGAAAGTCAGACGGTCGTCTGCTGCCGCATATCTTGGAGCTATTGGCTTCGTTTTGATTGTAACATTTATATGCTAACGCAGTCAGTACGTAAGTAGTCAAACATATCACTGTCATAGAATACAAAAGTATTCTCAGCAAATAGAGCTTGCGAATTTTCTCCCACTTGAGGTGTAGGAAGGCCATAACCAGAGGATGCGACAACAAGTCCTTTCGGTGCTCTTGTACAAAAGTATTTATGAAACTGGTTTCGCACTGATTACCGCTGGGGAAGAGATTGTCGAAGTGCAGTCTCATTTCAAACTCACGATTATGTGATGCCGGTCGGGTCAGTCTAATGGAAGCGTCCAACCGCTGTCGGAACACGTGCAGAGACTCAGGAATTTTCTTCAATATAATATTCAGAGCGGATAATCTAGTGCACGTGGTCGCGCTGATGTCAGCGCCCGCCCAGATGAGCGCATCCACACATTGAGATTGTTCGTTCAGTGCGGCAATGTGAAGAGGCGTGAAACCTGTCCGATCGGCCGCATTTATCAAAGCGCCGCGTTTCAGCAACAACTGTACTAACTCGACGGATGAGTCTGTGCTCATCACGGCGAAATGCAGGGGTGTCCTGTGCTCCCTATCCACATCGTTCACGTTAGGCGCACTGGCTGAAAGTAGCTCGACGCATGGTATTGATTGCACGAAACAGGCCACGTGCAACGGCGTCTGGCCCAAGTGATTCTTCTCGACAACACTGGCACCACGCTCGAGCAGCAGCTTTACCGTTTCCACCGCCTTCGCGCGGATGGCACTATGCAGAATTGGCTCGACCACTTCCTGACAGACATAATTGAGCTTGGCGTCATGATCCAGTAATGTAGCTGCGGCATGACAGCTATTACCGAGCGCTGCGAAATGAAGAGGAGTGTAATGAATGATGGGGCTCTCGTAATTCACATTGGCACCCTTCGCGATTAGATACTCCACGCAGGCGACTTTATCACCCAATGAAGCCGCGAGGATAGCGTTCACACCAGTCCGCGGTTCGACGTAGTCATAACGCGCTCCGGCGTGCTCCAACTGCGGCAGAAGATGAAGCAGACCACGATAGGATGCCCAAATGTAAGCAACGTTTCGTAGATTCTCGCTTTTGCACGCGTTCGGAAGCGTGCGACTCTTCTCCATGTACTGTAGTAACCTCGTCTCCATCGTATCGACGATAGACCATATAACCGATCTCAATTTGGCACCATTCACGTAATGATTCTTGTGGCATTCCAGAATTTCCAGATTGTCAAAGAAGAGAGAGTCATCGACTGGTGGTGGTACACCGGCGTCGATTTCGATTTGATCATTATCGAATATGGTTGCATCATCGAACACATTTTTTTGCGGACAATCCTCTGCATATGCACATCTCAATGACCTATAAGTGGGAGCTAATCTTACGGACAGAGGATCGCTTTTGTGACGACTGTTGAAGCTTTTGGAATAAAAATGTTCCTCATCATTCAAAATAGTCGGTGTTTCCAGATTATTCGTCTCAAGGTTTTTTACTTTGGCACTCGCTCCTAACGAATCTCGATCGTTCTCATACATACTCGCTTGAATTATTTACTTCGCTATTTATTTATAACTGGAAATAAATTTACTGTTCAGTTTCACTTTTATTTCTTTTAGTGAAAATTTAAGTATGTCTTCATGTAGTCTTATTTTTCTTGAATTATTTTCAATTTAAACAATTTTATCATTGCTATTTTTTTTCTGTTATCTCAGGTTTTTTACATTTTTGCGCACGAGAACTCGTATTACAAATCGATTATAATAAACCGATGATAAATATGTATATATAGACGATAAACTTACACCTGAAACTAACATGTCTCCTGATCTTGTCACTTTTTCCTATTTTTCTTTGGCTAATAGATATGTTATGTTGTACAATGTTTAATTTTCCAATGTAAATCCCATTTCGTAATTAAGCATTGAGTATTCGTATACCATTATGTGATGTTTCGCGAAGCATCCTAATTACTTCAGCCGCGTCATCGTCTCTTCAATCCTGTCTTTTTCTCTCTTGTTCTCTTTCGGTTATCACGTCCCGCCTACAAATCGTTTCATTTAGACTTCTTTAAGAGAAGATTATCGTTGTACTACGTTGTGTCTCGAGCGCAATCGAGTGTCTTATATCCGAGTTGTTCTGATTTAATCATTAATTTAATGACTTGCATTCATCCTGACAACTTATGATTAATATCTTCTTAAACGGAATACATGTGACAGACGTAGATGCAGAGAATAGAGATAAGTAAAGGTTGTTCTTTTCTAAGGCTCTTCCCGCCGGATACATTCGTTAAATTTCTCTCTTATTAGAAAAATATTATATTTGTATTACAAAATATGCAGTGCATACTATATATCTTCAAGTTTGTCAACATACTATATACTTACAAGTGTTTATCACACATACATTAGCAATCTTATCTCTTTTTTAATTTGCGCCGTTAGTAGTATTGTTGCTCCTCGTGTACTAGTATTTCTTCTGTTCTTCAAGCGCAACTCTGAAGACTCAATATTAATTTTTCTATCAACTTGACGAGAACGCAAGTTATTACGTTATCAAATATCCAAGTGAGTCTGTCGCTGTGTAAGAACTTTAAGTAATACAGATAGTATGATGAGTTTACATTTTTCACTGACACCGCACACTCTTCTTTTCCTCTTGCTACCGGCTTTGTATGACGTACCGTCACTTCGTCTTTTCGTTTAATGCTTCTACTTTTTGAAGTACGTATTTATAAAAACCTAGAGATTGGCTGAAGAAATCTCAAGTTTTCAACTCTAGAATGCAAAAGCAGTCCGAGAAGGATTTCGGCCACATTTTCTAATCATAAAAATTATGCCGGCTCAAGATGCCTATCATTGACCAATGTACAATTGACAATTCAGCGAGCATTACAGCGAGCTTAACTAGTTTGTACGATCGCACTACACGTACTGCATGACGTACTCTGCATACGCTTCTGCCATTCGTGTGGGAAGAGGAATTTATGAGCAGAGGGGCAAGACGCTATATATAAACAAAAAATACATAAACATAATAAAAAAATGTAGGGCAATTTGAGATCTACTTTACGTATAGTCTCACGTATACGAGCTGTCCTTCTTTTAAATTCTTGATTAATCTAGATCAGACTGGAACGTATCGTTTAAAGATCACTTGAGTTTTTTAGGACATTGTTATTTACATATGTTATCGTTAAAAAAATATTGTTAAACAGATATTTGTGCTCTTAATCAAATGTAACGATAAATTGTTTTTTTCTTGTTGAAAATCAATGGACGAAGGTTGAATAAAAAAAATAAGAAAAGAAAAAAAATATTTTTATCAAAGTGTTCTAATTATTAAAAAAAAATAGAATTTTTCCAAAGTAAAGGTCGCAGAGAGACAAAGAGAATTATTTAAATTATAGACAGCTAATGTGTGTTTACAGGAATAGTATAAAATTATTTTTTAATTATGTTAATTTTATAATAAACATAATTTTAAATTATAAACTCATTTTTTATTTAGCGTCTCAAAAATACAGTAGAAATAGTGAGTAAATAAATCAATTGTTATTCGTTAGTCCTTCCTGTTTTATTTCGTTTACGCGTTATCTCTTTCTTTATCTAGTATTTGATTTTTTATTATAGAATATTTTATACCCCCTTTTTCATAGCTTCCCGAATCTAAATTGCGAATATCTAGACAAACTTCTTTCACCATCACGTGATTGCGAATATGATATCACAATCCGTTTACGTAATTTTAATTCTGTATTCATTTTAAGTACATTTGCAAGATCTCTACCAAGAGATATTTTCGAGTTGCTAGCTGCCTATAAATTGTTGATACATGAAATACATAAATGAAACATTACGTATGAAATGAATATTTCATGCTAGTACTCACTTTAATAAAAAAGGGAAAAGTAACTTTCAAACAGTCAAATTCGAGACATGAAACAGTTTTACATCGCGGTAATTTTATTTGAATTACGAGACACGATCGATTCCGTAACGCGATGGAATATGTAATGCATTTTTAAATAATTACTTTTTATGTATTTTTCAGCTAACTGTTTTGTATGTAAGACACAAAGTACATAGTTCCAGTTACAGAGTCTCTAAAATTTTAACCCAATAAATTCTCTTCCAAGAGGTAGATATATAACTCAACGTTTTGTCTCATTACCAAGTCTCTGACAATTGAACTTTCAACAGACGAGAACTGGTTTTGACTGTCTACGCATTTCATTAATGTTATATATGTATTTTTCGACTTCATTCAAAGTTTCATTCAGTGAAACTTGACCAGCACAAGACAACTTTAAAACTTCCCTATTTAATTTTGATATAAAAATATTTATTTACGCGTTTAACAATTTATCTTGGTAAAAACTTCGCAATAATGTGTACAGCTATCCTTACAATTTAAATAAGTAGTTAAAAAACAAAAGAAAATGCTTATAAAATTCTTTTTCTTAAGAACCTATTTAAAAAAGAATTAAGAGTAAAGAAAATTAATATCGAAATATATTATAAAGCAACCAGACGTCAAATCAAATTGCATCAGTTTGAATATAATGATATATAAATTTTATATGTTGACTCTTCAGGAAGAAGGAAATTTTTCTGACAAGTCAAAATATCTTACAAAAACTTCTAAAAATAAAAAAAAAAGAATGTTTAGAAAAAATATAAACGAACTGTCCTGTTTTCTGTAAGGTCTCATCAATATACATATGTTTACATTCACGTCACGAAATCCATGTTACTTTAGATACATACTAAATGTTAAACTTGAAAAAAAATATATGCGTATATTTTAAAGTAAATAAAGTGTTTCTCCTTAAGGAAATATTTCATACAATTACTGCGTTAAAACAAAATATTTTGTTTAAACATAGCATTTATCATATACATAAAAGTATGCAAGCTATTCTGATGCTTTTTATATAAAATTTATATATATATATATATGAAAGATAGAATCATATATATATAAATATAACTAATATTTTGGACACAATCGCATTTGTATCATAGAAAAGCTATATCTCATAAGCAAGATTTAATATTTGTTGGAAAATATATAAAACACAAGGCATAGAAACAAAGATTCGCGATAATTAATCATTCACGATGTATCACAATGCCACGTTACATGAATCTCAAGTTTTAGAATCTCTTATCGTTACTCCATGATTAAATTTCAAATGAAACATGAATCTTTGTGAATTTATAAAATATCCTTTACAATTCAAGGATATTTAGTATAACACCTCGTTATACTGACAATTTTATTTATTTATTTTATCACTATGAGCTTTTATGAGTTCCTGAAGGAGAGTTTGATTTTTCTCGCAAATCTTTTTGAGTTCCGCGATTTCGTTTTTAAATTTGTCACAATCGTGCAGTGTATCCTCGTCGAAATCACGACGACGATACATGGTCATGTCGCCTTTGAAACCCGCTTTTGCGCTATAAATTTTTCTGCGTGACGCGGTGTAATTGTTTTGTCCATCTCTTTCCTTGGCTATTTTGTAAGCGGCCAAAAGAACATCACGTGGTAATCTCTTCTCTCTGGGACTTAGTGGACGAACAGTCAGAACGGCTCGTAAAGGTGGTGGCAGAAGTAGCGTGGTCCATCGCATGCATTTGATGAAGCGTTTTGACGGAATAAATCCCAGGAAAATTGCAGTCTCAACGTCGTGGATCAATTTTGTTTGGCGAACGAGTTTTGCAAGACCCGCCGTTTTTTGAAGACCCTTGATATCGTGCACGGCTATACCAATCAATAAATTCATCAGCACGATCGTGACAAATAGAAGGAACAACACGAAAAGGAGTTGGGCCGAAATTTGTAGCAAAATCCAGGAAGCTCCTTCGTTATTCTCGTAGATGCCACTCTTATCAAATGAGATTAAGTAAGAATCAAAGCCTAAATCGCCAGTCATCATCGCGAGGATCTTAATAAGACCTATATGCGGACTGCTGAACGAATTGGAATATGGAAAGATCACACAGAAGCTCGCCGTAAAGCCCACTAGCAGACAGGCGTAGGCCAGAAGTAGCTTAAATACTTGTGCCTGCACACTAGTAAACATAGCGACGTAAGCACCGAACACAGGAAGCTGTCCGATCATCAGCATCAGATTGCTCCAACCACAAAGTACGGCGAAGGCGCCTAAGTGCCTTTGCCAGACATACGTTTTTCCCGTATATACGAAAGAGGTGGCAAACACGCTCAATATCACGCACCAGTCGGCTAGGTTCTCCACCTGCGTGAAGAATTGTCTAACAGATCGATAACTGGAAATAACGGCGAACTTGCGACAAGCCTCGAGTATGGTGAGCATCATCAGCGCGTACCACTGAATCTCGAGTAGTGTAGGATGTCTATAAAAAAATCCATAAATCCCAGTTGCGCTCGGGCACAACAGCTTATTGTGTATGTAATAACCCTTTGATTCATTGTAACAGTTATGAGCGAGGGCGATTATCACCCAGCTTGTAAGGATCAACACATATATCAGGTAGAAGAGCAATCGGGCGACGTAGTACTTTCGGATCTTGTGCCACTTGAGATGAAGGAAAGACTGGCATAAAGGGTGTTCCAGAATTTCCTTGTAGCCCTCCTTCACAAAGGTATTCAGATAACCGGTCTCGGACGAACGGTTCCGCCGATGCTGAAGCAACGGACGAAAGTCCAGTTGTAACTCGAGCTTGCCTGCGATGAATCCCTGCCGGCTCAAAGTTAGAGACTTGTCCAGCCTACGTTCGAACACGTTCAGAGATGTCGGGGTCTTACGCAGAACGATGGATAGGGCACTGTTATCACCGATGGTCTTGGCACTGAGGTCTGCTTCGTGTTTTATCAATAGATTCACGCATCGTGATAGCTCGTTCGATGCAGCGATGTGTAAAGGCGTATAACCGTACTTGTCTGCCTTATTTACATCCGCCCGCCATTTCAGCAGAAGCTCAGTGATGTCGTCGGTCATCAGAGACTTACCTAGAGCCAGATGCAGAGGTGTCCGACCCTCATTATCTTCCACGTTAGGATCCGCGCGACCTTTCAGTAAAATCTCCACGCATTCCAGAGAATGCGAACGAGCGGCTAAATGCAAGGCCGTGTGTCCTCGATGGTTCTTCAATTGAAGATTAGCATTTGCCTTGACCAAAAGAGCCAAGTTACCCGCGCAACCAACTTCCGCAGCCAAGTGCAAAGCAGTGTCGTTCTTTCTGGTAAGTAAATCCACTTGACAACCGGCTTTCAGAAGTATATCTAAACAAACTTTGTCTCCGTCGTTGGCTGCATGATGAATAGCGGCGTATCCGTCCTGATCCAAACGATTCAATTCTTTGTTATTCGGTGCCAGTAAAGTAAGTACGCGCAAGGCGTTAGTCCGTGAAGCCACATGCAATACAGTTTCTTCAGCTTCATACGGAGATAGCTGACTGATACCTCGTTGCATGAAATACTGAGCTACGTCGAAGGCATCTCCAAAAGCGGCGTAATGAAACGCTGTGTGCTTCGATTTGGTATCAACGCTCGCGCCTTGTTCTATTAAATATTTGACTCCATCCAGACAGTTCCGAAAGGCACATAAATGTAAGGGGGTAAGGCCATGATTATGTTCGGTGTAATTAATATTGGCTCCACATTTGCACAAATGATGAATGAGATTCGTACGACCTAAAAAACTCACTTGTAGCAATAAGATGTTGACTTCATTAGACTTGATGTCCGCAAAAATCGTGTTTACGTTTATTTCATTCATTTTGCCTGATTCTAGATTCTCCAAGATTTGTGATTTATAACCCATATGCCTTTTGTGTTCCGTGAGAATATTTTTAATGAGGTCTTCATTGATGCGTAGCGAAGTACGGTCGATTTCATCGGAAGTGGTATGTTCACTGATGATGAAGTAATCTTCCATGGAAGGACTTATCGAATCATCGGGTAATGACGGTTCATATTGAACTCGACCACTTTCGAGCTCATTGTCATCTTGCTTAGACGATGAGCGTTTAGCCTTTAGCCGAGTTAGAAATAAAGAAGCCGTACTCGTGCGTGTCAACATATTTGGAACAGTTTTTGGTATTCTTTCTTCAGTTTCCTCCATCTCTTTTTCTGATGAGAACGATACGAATTTGCCGAGACTATCAACTATCTCCACCTGTTGCCGTATTAAGTTCAATTACCTATAAATGCGATATTACCTATTTAACACTATTCAAAAGTCTTAATACTTAATCGAAACATGTAAAAATAAATATGTAACAAATATTTTTTTAATAATTACCCAAATTTATTATAGGAAAAGAAAAATAAGACGTTTAAAATATAATGCCAGAGCTATATAAATATTTGTAGTGTCAAATAGTCTTTCTGTCGAAATAAGTGAAAGTATATAATATTTTGTACGTACGGTCTTTTAAAGTTATGAATCGAAAATAAAACAAAACAGATGATTAGATTAATCTCAAGTAATATCTAGAAATTTCAAACATACGGTCAGTAAATCGTTTGAGAGAGAAATTTTGTATCTTGGAAGACACTCATCTACCATTCAAGGTCGATCATGGATATTTTTGTAATTTTACCGAATATTAATGGATATCTTGTGGAAATGTTAACTACGTTGGGACATCTGAAGGCTTCATATAAAACTGAAACATGTAATGAAACTTACTAACTCAATTAAATTTTTGTTTTATTTAATTCTGTGACATATATATATTTTTAACGTTTTATTTGACTCTTATATGTCCTTTACAACATTATTTGAAATTTTAATCTCAAGAGTAACACTATTCTTTAGGCCGCCTCCAATTTAACTTATGTAGTGTTCTTTATTTAGTAGTTAAAATGTAGAATCACATAGAAAAGGAATTATATGTCGAGGGAATCATTCAAAGTTATGGTGAAGTTATTTTTCAGTGAAAATCGGAAAATCTGTAAATCCTCATATAAATAAAATATACTGAATATAAATTAATAAAATATACTGAATATAAATTAAGAACACAAGAAATTTTGGTTTTTTTATGTTCTTATCGTGATCTTCAGAGGAAAATGTTATTTTTTATTGAATATACAGTTTTATTGAATATAAATATCATAGTTCTTACTCACTCCAACAAGTGCTATGGAACAGCTCAGAACATAATTCCTTTTCTACGTGATTCTATATTCCGAATACTAAATAAAAAAATATATGAGCCAAATTAAAAGCGGTCCAAAGAATATTATTCTTTATTCTAAAATTCGTATATTTTATACAGAAGATTAAATAATTGTAATATTTGTTAATGATTTCTTAATTTTTTAAAGGATTAATAATATAGGAAAAAATATGAATTTTGGAATGTACATTTCAGTTTTTTTTTTCTATTTCGATATAAAAATTACGACTCAAAGTTTGGCGCGGTACACTTTATAAATAACGCTTTAACGTTGTAACATCGAAATCCAACACAAAGCATATCGCATGACTCTTGCAAAAGTTAATTGGAAAATTGCTTAAATAATCATGGAGGATAGTCTGTTATCTGATTGAATTGGCGGTAATTATGTCCCACTGAGAAACAAAGAGATATCGTACAGATTATATATTGATGACAATATTAATAAACTCATTGCAAAAAAAAAACCTATAGATCTACGAAAAGCAATAAATCTCTGCAATAACATTTTGTTCGTTTACGCAATTAACAATAAAAATATAATGCGTTCTGGCATGAAGTAATTGGCGACAAGTTTTTATGATCTAATGACGCGTAATAGACAAAAGAACATATGTAATGTAAGTGATGTATTCACTGAAGATGGTTCCATTGACAATCGAAACGTTTGGAGATTTTTGTAGTTTGTTACAATATATTCTTTTGCATCGATAATGTGCTTGACTCATTTAGTCCTTATACGAATTTATTAATAAAAGATTTTGTCGACTTGACTAAATACTAAACAATTATAAGAAATTTAAATATTTCCGCTATTATATTTAAATCAAAAAATAGAAACCATTTATATGAAAATATAGAAATACAAATCTATTAAAAATAAATTAAAAAAATTTTTATCACAAATAAAAATTAAATGTGAAACTAAATAAAAGTAAAATGAAAAAGGCGTAAACAGATATTAAACGTAAAAATAAATAGAAGTTTCAATTATACATAGGTATAAGTAAACATAACGTCATGAGAGAGATGTCCTTTGTGTCAGATTTATATTAATCAAATCAACAGTGAGCCGCTGTCTGTTAGTACTCAATAAATTGTTAATGCTTTTGCAATAAATCTCGAATTTCGTTTAATGACTCTATTTACGTATGAAGTATGTGATCGGCATTATAGCAGAGGTTTTAAAGTGAAGAAGTACCTTACGCATTTACGACACGAGATGAAGCGCGGTAAAGGACGTTGATAATCGTTTTGAATCACCTCGTTCTTTCGCCAGACCGGTTAACACTGAGAGCGAGAGAGCGTGCAGCATGTGATTAATTCCATCGTACCGGTTATACCAATAAAAGAGATTTAGATAGTACGTATATCGGATGAGACCAGCTACTAGAAATGCGCACGGAAAGGTCATCTTTCATGAAGGACACCGCATGTTTTTCATGCTTTACATTCTTCACAATATGTACCATAAAAAGATATTAAATAAAAATATATCTCTTCAGTGCTGTATTCACCCTCCAAATATATGATTCTTCTGATTCGAGAATTTTTTTTTTTTTAATCCTTTCGAGTCTAGTGGGTCATATATGACCCAGAATCTTTAAAAAGTCGTATTTATGGTAATTATTAAGCTATTCAGTTTAAACTAATCACGGCTAGTTTTAAAAGAAATTATCTAAACTTTAATTGGAAAATGTTATAATAAATACAATATCATAAGATTAAAAAAATTATTTACGTATTATTAGAAAAGTTATTTACAAGTGTGAATAATTTCTAACGTATTTTTACTTGTTGAGCAAAAATCCGTTGTCAAAATTCGGCTATCATGTCACAATTTTGAGGATTTGTTGTTTTTGGTCTAATGCCGTTTTTCTAAAAATCATGATGTGACAATGTACCTATGGAATGTTTCTCCCCCTCTCTTCCCCCCTCCCTCCCTCGCTCCATCCCCTTCCTCGCACAGAAGGTGCGTTCAGAAAAACGCTATTAGCACTATTTATGTCATTCTATCTTCATCGTTTATTAGAGCCCAGACACAAGCTTTTGCATAACGCATAACGCATAGTGCATAATGGAATCAACCAATCGAAATTCTTCTTTTCCATGGAATGGGAGGAAAGGAAAGATTCTGATTAGTTGATTCGTTTATGCACTATGCATTATGCTTTATGCAAAAGTCTGTGTCGCGGCCTTTAGACGTGAAACAAGGAAACGATAGAATAACACAAATAACGCTAACAGCGTCTCTCCGCACGCACCTAGAGACGCTGTCGGGGCGCGTGGCCACATGGAGTGTTGTTAGATGATGTCATATGCGTAGTTCCAAAGGCATTGAAAAAAAAAAACTAGAACCATTTGTGTAAAATGTGATGTAATAGTATTATGTATGTATTAGAACATGTTTTCGAAAATTCCATGAAAAATGAAACATTATATAGGGTATCGCAAATTATTTGACAAACTGCTTGTGGAAAGAGCAAACCGAGTCGAAAAGTCCTTCACCATTTTGCAATTTTTGTATTTTTTTAGTTATCCAATGAGCAGAATGTCAAAAATTGACACATAAAACAATTTTAAGATATTTTTAAAAGTTCTTTAATGCAAACTTCCACTTATTGGTATTACTTAATGGAATCATATAAGTATTCTATTCTTAAGCCTTGAGTCCACGATGCTAGAAATCGGTCCGAAACCTCAGATGAAGAATTGACCAATCGCAATAGTCATGTCAAATTGTTCAAATGTGATTTGTTAATTTTTTCTCTGTCCGAGTTCTCGGACCGATTTCTAGCATCGTGAACATTGGGTTTTAGATTTTTTGAATAAGCACATTATTACGCCTATAATCGTTCAGATATCTGAATATGTAGCGAAGAAAACATTGAAATTCTATTATCATAATCAATACGCGACTAAAAAAATATTGCATGGTAATTCGTTTGAGTCAAAGTTAAGAAAAAATTGCTATTGAAAAAGTTAAAATATCATTTTTTAAAAAAGAGTGAACTAGAGTACATACAAACTATATATCTTATTTTAACATAAATAGTAGAAATTATCTCTAACCGAATTATGTTATGTATTACAATTTTCGAAGATTTACGTAAAAACTTGATATATTATTTAATAAAAATTTAGTACCAACTTTTCTTACGAGGATTTAAGCAAAGAATAACTCACCTGTTGACGATGCTGAAAATCTTCGAAGTATCCGATGTCACGTCCATTAATGACAATCTTACCAGAGCCATTACCCCAAATTGTTACTTCACCTCTTGCAGACTTCCTCATGCAATCTGAAATCATTAACAATAATGAGTTTTATGATACATATACTTGCTAATCTTCTGTGAATGTTAAAGTTGTGTTTACTTACTTTTGACTGTGACATATGGCCTTCCTGTGCTGTCATGTTCCAACTTAACATGTAATAATAAATCTTTACATTAATTGAAACTTTATTTTCATTATATATAGATACTTACAGGTAATACTATCTCCTTAAAATGGGTATTACGTGTTCTACAATATTTTAAAATGAAATCTGTTGCACGTCTCGATAGTGGATGATCGCATAGTCGTTCTAATGACGTAATAAGATAATTGTACTGAAAAGATTATCATCCATTTATGAGTTAAATTAAATCATGCGTTACAATTTTGTTTAAATTTTCTTGTAGCTAATCAATATTAATATTATATTTACCTCAAAATTGTTAAGCCTTTCAAGAAATAATTTTTCAATATCATTCTGTGTCAACCACGAGGAACCTACTAGATCGCTAAAAATATGTATTTAAAATAATATTTATATTTGATATTTTGCAGGATATTTGTTAAATTATAAATTAAGCTGTATACAAATACACATTCTATATAAACTGAATATTCAACATACATTCTGTCCATAGGCAATATTCCTTGCTTTATCAATGAATCTTCAATATCATTCAGAATCTCGATATTATCGACAATATTCTGTAAATAAAAATAATTTTCAGTTATTAATTACTTTCTTTCATATATCTATAATAACTATTATAAAAACTTACATATAGTGTCTCATAATAATTTGGCTTTGAGGTATAAAACATAGAATGGAAAGGTTTTCCAGTTTCATCAAATTCTGCTACTTTTTTGCTTGGAAAAATCTTGTCTGGATGTTCCATTATTGGCCGAGCTTTAGGATCAAATAGTCCCGATGGAAATAGATATTCGATTGATCTCTAAAAGTAACAATCACATGAGACTTTAGATATTAACTCAAATATTTATCAAATTAGGATGATTTTTTTTTTATATAATTGCATACATTTATATCTGCTTGGGTAAAAGATTCCGGATCTTCGCCCATCATATTAGCCAGATGTCTTTTCCCTATCTCATATTCTAAGATCTCTTCCTTCATGAATGCATCTAATAAATTTAAACAATAACTTATGTATAGAAAAATATTGTTTATATACTATTGGTCTTAAAGTTAATATAAAAAACATTAGTAATTTTACAAAATTATAAAAAAATATATATATATATATTAAAAAAATCAGTTACTACCATGTTCTTTTGCACGTTGTAAATACATCATCATAGCTTTGCTTATTTTTTTCTCAGATTTCTTTATATTAGTTTTAGTTGTATCTTCGATTTCACTGATAGATGTTGCATAAGATTGTGATTTAATACGATTCTGCAACCGTAAAATAATTAGTATAGCAACTAAATAATTTGTACATAGTCGAAATGAGAAAAATTGCAATAGACAAATAGCACGATGGCTTCATTACAAAGGAATTGCAAACATACCAAATACCACACGGAATCCGGAAATAAGGCAACAACATTGTTGCTTACGCCAACTAAACGTCGAAAGTGTGAACAACGGATAAAAGCAGATACAGCCATAATTATAGCTTGATAATTAGAACGAATTATTTTTCAATTGATTTGAAGGCAATAACCTAACTTCGTTCGGACTAACCTATCATAATCTGTTGACTAGTGGAACTACATTAGAGAAATTCAATTATTAGAAATTAATAGATTCTCCTAATTTGAACACGTTTTCCAACTCATGAAAAAATGAGAATGTTACAATTTTTTATATGTAAAGCGTATTTAATTGTTTACATATCGTTTACACACACATCATTAATCATATCACGAGTGCCGTGGAATTGCACGTAACTGCACTTCATTCCACTTCATTATCTGCAGTCTACACTTTATTTGTGAGCGCGTTGCTCACAAATAGTCTGTGCGCGTTGCTTAAAATTTCTAGAACATAATTTTATTGGTAATTCTTACTTATATATACACATCCTTATACAATTATATTTCTGTATTTATTTATCAAAAAATTTGGGGCGATTGTATGTCAAAATACTCATAATCGGCAAGTGAGGCGTCGAGTGGCTCAGCGCTCGGTCTACAAACTAGCAATCTGTGGATCCGAGTTCGATCCCACCGCGCCTCACATACACTGGATTTTTCCTGCGTTAAGGCGATGCTAAAAGCCTCCTGTTTTACCCACATTTCCATTCGGTGAAAAATCTCTGTATTGGATGTACGGATTGCAAAAGTATTATTTGACCTTGATTGAGTTGGATAATCGGTTTAGCATTCCCTTAAGTTACGCTCCAGCTATGAGTAACAATCCCAATCAAGGATGAGTAAGATCGGGAGGAAGGCTCTCCGATTGCACATTCATGTTAACTGACTATGTATCTCAAAAAGACAAGTTTAATTAACTTGTATGTAAGACTTAAATTAGGTGACGATTTGTTACTGGCCAATTTGGTTCCATTCACGGGACTGACAGCCAATTAAATAATGAGAAAAAAATAATTGGCAAATCCCAGGTTCGATTTCAAAGTTACTCCTCCTGTAGCTCATTTTATAAGAACTTAATCCTATTCTTCCTTCTACTACTACTAATATCAAAAAACTTACCAATAAGGTTTCTACTAGATCCTTCCTTGGTCTGAGTTTAAGTAGTGGTGCACTGAGTAATATCACACATTCCTTATTACGCGAGTGAAAGCGACATACTCCAGTACAACTACAAACAATTGCAAATTATGCAGTTTTCTGTTCTTGCATGAGGATTGTACTAGAACTGAATTAGCGCAATCCAGAACTGATGCATAAAATATTTTTGTATGTATGCTTATTATCATTTATGTATTTTTTGTTTCATTACTCGTAAACTCTTGCACTGTTTGTACAAAGTCTGTTTTCTGTGGTTAAACTAGGCCTGTTCTTCTTGGCTGAACTTTTGCACCAGTTCATCTTTCTTCCTCTTCTTTCCTTCCGGACAGACGCGAATGTTCGGATATAAGTAGTGCATTTTTTCTTGAAAATTTGGTTTGGGAAAGATAAAGGGAAATGATACCTACAAGCGTACATTAATTATAATTAATAAAAGTACAATAAAAGTCTTATTGAAATATTGACGTCTTTTATTCGTGCTATTTTTCTCAATCGTTTGTAAATCCGACTGTTTTGTAAACTGGTCGGTATATTGGTCGATATTAGCATAAGAGAGAAAGTTTACCACATTGCATAGTTTTTGGAAGTATATAAAGTAATAAACACCAACAATCTCAGGCACCATCAACGAGTTACCAATAATCGGTACTCGTTAACGCCAACAAGATTAAGCTATTTATCACATAAGTAAAAAATAGATATGGATGTAATATTAAAAAGCTATTATACTATTGGCAATAGCTTCTATGTGAAATATAGAAGCTATTCATACAATCATATCATACAGATATTTTACGCACGAATTTACATTAAAAGTTACGATAACAGCAGTATTTTCAGCCTCTGTTTGATAATACCACTTCTGTAAATATGTCTCCTGCTTTCTTACTGCAACTGCATTAAAATCATAAATTTTCTTCGGTAGTAAAAAATCATCCCTCTTTTTGCGTACGTATGTATCTATATGTTTTACATTTCCAGCAAAAACGTATTTTATGATAATGAACCAAGATATTTACTCCTATTTATTTCTATCTAAATCGAAAAGACAGTCGGCATATCTTATCATTGTGTAGCTATATCGAATATATGTAGCAATGTATGCAACATTTTATTTATTTGTATGTACAATGCAAAAAAAATCACACGATTTTAATACGATTACAATAAATAAACAGGAGACTTAAATTATTAATTTTATCAAATATCAGGAATGCATAATAGCATATAACATACATGTACATTTACTCTTAAAACATTGCGTTTCATTGTTAGCAAACAAATAAGCGTTTTCATAAATATCTAATCTAGAAATTCTAAAATATCATTAACGGTTTAGAAAATCATTCAACATTCCTGATAAAATTTAACATCCCTGCAGGCCGTCACAATATAGCCTTTAACTTAACTTTCTTCTTGTATCACAAAAAGAAAACAAAAGTACTTATGAGCAAATTATGGGGGCATATATATATACATATATATATATATTATGTATATATACATATATGTATATATGATATATATAATATATATATACATATACATACACTTAAAAAAATAAGAAAGTCTTAGATGATACAACATGCTTGGAAAATACATGTTGAATTAGTAAAGTACTTCATACGCTACGCTTTGTCTTTGGAAATTTCTTAATAAATTACATTATTTGTGTGATAGTAAAAGTTAACTATTACGTAATATTAATTAATTGTATCATAAATTACAATCTCTTTCGGTATCAACAACCCTATCACAAAAATAAATATATTTAGAATTAATATTAATCTTTTTCGATATTATTCGACAACATACAGACAAATTTGTCAAATAAATAGTCAACGCTCTGAAAAGATAAATATACAATATAAGATCACCTTCATTTTTTCGAAACTAAGTATTCTTAGACATAAAGATTTCTAAAGAAATATTCTAAAGAAATATTATTCTTTTGTCTCTTTTTTTTTACATATGTATATTTTTGTGTATTGTGTAACTGAAATAAAAAAAATCAATGAAGTGTTCCCTATATGGCATATTTATCTTAAACGTATCAATTATAGCAATCAAATATAATAATTAAAAAAAGGTAAAATATATACCAGTTGACATTAGTATTCCTTTTTTGTGCTGCTTAAACTGCCGTTTATGCAGCGCTGCATTTTTCGGAGAGAAATCCGAGATCGTACACAATGCCAGATGTTCTTTCCCGTGCCTGCTAAATTGCAAACTATCAAGGACGGCGATTCATACTCATTAGGAACAATACCATCAACAGACGCCTCAAAAAAGCTAAATAACGGAAACCAGATTCTGGTTCTGATCGAATCGCGCTGCATCAATGCTTGATTATTCGCCAATGTGTGATAGTAAAGGAATAATCGCGAAGTTATATAAAATGCGACGAAAACGTCGATGGAATAATGTTCATGCGCCGCCAAGATGAAAAAAATACCAAACATGTTAAGCATCCATGTAAAAGTATGCAGAAAATACAAATGTCTTGGAGTATCTGCAATAAAAAAAAGAGCATTTCATAAATATTAAAATCTTCGATTACGAAATAATGTATACTAATTACTTACACTCTGTAATGAAAAAGTTAAGCATTGTTAACGCTACTGTATGTCCGCTAAACATGTAATCCCCGCAAGTTCTGACACCTTGAATGGACATGCCAGCACCTCGCCAAATAACATAAGCCATTGCTATTTTATTGTACAGTTCTACATAAGCGGAACTAAAATGAGATATAAATATATATTATTTGTATTTAAAGAGAAAGAATGTGATATGTAATTTTATAATATATGTATCTCACTTTGACCAATCATCATCTGGGACTTTCCGTGGTTGGCATTGTAAATGTGCTCCTGGCACTGACAACGAAGTAATGAGCATCGTCACGCATCTCAGCAGGAAGACTGTACCCGACAATGCAAAAAACCTCCGTAACAAAATAAATCTGTGTCATATTTAATAGATTATTCGCACTGACAAATCACATTTGCTATATTTATTTAAGTTGGTCACATTCCTTACCTATACTTGTGAAATATAAGCACAACAAGCCATATCGCGAAAAGCAGGGTACCGGTAACTTCGCACATATCGAACGCCCAAGGAATATGAGGTACATTGTCTAAAAATATGTCTGGTAATGGAGGATACTTCTTCATATCAGGCACTCTGTCATGAACGATAACCATTACGAAGGCAGTAATCCACGTGACAATAAACAAATATCCCAAACTGATGAGTGTCTTCCAGATTTCGGGTGGCAAATGAGAAGCGTGTCCATCCTCTGATACCGAAGCTGAATAGAATTCGTTCTCGATAGACGTTTCGTTATTCGTACCAGTACTGGGCATCTAAAGTAAAATTATATTAAGCATAGCAGTAGTATTACCTTCTTGAATTAAAATGAACATTAGACATTCCCCTTTAGAGAATCATGCCTTTACCTCGTGCTTATTCTGATGATGAGTATAAAAATTTGTCGAAGGAAACAGATCCACGTATCCCAGGTCAAATAGAACGGCGACATTGTCCCTCTGCAGTTGTTTTATAGCTAGATACAATTTTTTTATAGCACCAATCTTCTTTATGTTTAAAATACTAGATTTCAAGTCTTCCTCTTTCAGCGTCAAAAGTACCTTTCCGTCGATCTCATGGAAGTAAAACAAATCCGCGTATTCCTCGTGACCATTTTCTATGAGCCACGTTTTCACGTCGGAGGACGTCCACTCGATGACGTTTCTTAAGGACATGGTTGTGCCGTCGCTTCGCATCTATCCTGCATAACAGACGAGTCGACACCTGTACCGTTAGAAACGGGAAGTGATTTATCCAGCAAGTGGGTGACCTTGTGACACAGTGATTACTTTTCTAATTACAATTCGCATCAACATCATAGCGTGATTTCTCGATAACATCAAGAATAACAAGTTGTCGAGCGAATGAAAAGAAACACCGTGTCGCAAAGCCAAACAGATGATCCGATCGAGAATCACGAGGATACAGATATAACTTTCGCGCGAACACGCGATCATTAAAGAAAAAGATTAGTTGACATTCTCAAATATTTAGAAGTTTCTCAAGAAAATAAAGAGGATAGTGAGTAGATTATAAAAGGACAAGGGATCGAAGTAGTTAGAACTAAGGACCTTGTA